TGGCCAAGATTCCGCTGTCTTGTTCACTCATTGAAATTTTGAATCCTTTTACTTTATATTGAGCCCATTATCTTCTGGACTTAAAATTGGCAATATTTTGGGCGTCTATACGAGTGAGCAGGGGATGCCAATTAAAAAGCTCAACCCTCACCCTGACGCGCTGTTTTTCATAAAGCGAACTTATGATGGAGTCGACGCGATCCACCCGCCATGAAAGTCACGCAAACGTGTTAGCTGTATCATTCTCAGCATATTACATCTCGTTTTGTGCGTTCTGAACATATATGTATAACGTAGAGCTCTGTTAATGTAAGCTGACGTCCCCGCCATAGGCGCATCCTGGGGGGGGAGGGGGGGCACGGGGCCATGGCTCCCCCAAAAAAACTCTGAATGTTTTGGCCCCTCCAAAACATTCCCAGAACTTCATAAAAGTTTCGTCTACTTACCGTCTGTTTTAACTTTGATGGTGCGGTATCAGACTTTTTTCCGTTTCGGGAACGTTGCATCCCGACTCCTGACTGACTCATCATTCATCCCCTTCCGCAGCGCGGCTCACCGGCGTGCCCGCCCGCCGCAACCGCTGCGCAGCTGCCACCACGCTCCATAGCTACTAGAATCATCCTTTGTCCGGCCTGATCACCATGTTTCGTCGTCTGTCACCCTGATCACCATTTGCAATAAACCCCATCTGACCAGTTGACTCTTGAAAGTAATATCTTATGTTACAAGCTTTGTAAACATGTATACTGTATATAGAAGATCCAAAAGCATTTCGGTGCTTGAATGATGTCCCTTCTAGGTACTCGCGAGAGGCACCATGCACTGGACCTCGGATCCCACACCAGCCAGCTGACAACGAACGGTTGCCCCCCCCCCCACAAAAAACAACTCCAGGCTAGATCCACCCCTGGTCCCCGCCACCACCAACGACTTTGTCCGTTGCCGCCCGCCGCCCGCGCTGGCCGAAGATTGCCGCGAAGTGTTCCTAAAAAGCTACTTTTCAGAAACCAGATGCTATGGACACTTTTCGTGTCCAAACACGTATAATAAATGCCCCAGATCACACAGAGAAGTTTGACACGATACATTATGCCGGAAAAATAACAAAAAAAAAAATATTAGGGAGGGAGGGATCTCGACGATATTTTCCACCTCATCGACACTTTTACCAGGAGAGGTTTGAACAGTTTGAGAGCACATAAACGGAAAAAACATGCATGAGCCATAGCCACGCATCTGCATGGATAGCTAGATCCCGCTTGAGCGCCTGGGCTGCTCCCGAGGGCTGGCGCTGGTACTGACAGTGTTTCCTTTTGCGTTGTTCATTCCGGGTTTGCGCGCAGAGATTGAATGTAAGTCCTTCGCGAGATGGAGAAGACGAAACTTCAAATCGTGTTCAAAACCATTTTGTAATTAAGTGCTTCGAGCGAACCCTGGCCTTCGAAATCTTGAGCAGGCACTTGATATCGGCGGGCACGAAACCATGCCTTACTGCGCGTGTTGTCTTGATTTAATTGGGAAATGATGAGGCGGTAGCTGCAATGTTCTCGCTTAACGGTGCACCGCGGCACGACTCTGCGCAGTGAGAAATCCTGGGCGATGTGGACCAGCTAAAAATAGCACCACCACGCGCCTAATATTCACGAATTTATGCCGTGCTACACGTGTGTGAAGACCCGTAACCATCACAACAACAGCAATAGATTTTGATGAGAGCATCAAATTCAGCACACCTGTAATGTTTGGCATACATCAGAATAATGTATTAAATTGTTACTGTTTACGTCGTTACGTATATCATTAGCAAAAGCTAATCAAGATGTTACAGCGTACACTAAGCTCCTGGACTCCAGTCATTTTCCATAGAAGGCCTTAAGATTGAGGAAAGCTGCATTAGCCCAGCAATCTACCCGATTAGACGCCGTATCCAGTGACCACAAAATCTAGTCCCCCGCGAATACGTCACTTGCTGCCAGGTTCTGCTAACCCAGACCCAGGTAACGTGGGCGCATCGCCATAAATCATACGACAATTGAGGGGCATGTGCGACATACACGGTGCCCGGCGCCAGGACTCGAGGCCAGGACTGATGAGATTTTGGGCGGTTCCGTGGCGGGTGATGATTCGTTGTCAATAAACAGGTAATGCAATGATTTTAACAAGATATAAATTTGGAGGATATAAAAGTATGCTTACTGGAGTGGTGAACGTGTGAAGTTGGAATGACTCGCGCATTTGTCTTACCTAAAGGTGTACGGGCTCAATATCCATGTGATTTCTCCCAGTTGGTGCTTTCATTCCACGTAACGCCCTGCGTGCAGCACATAAGATATGAACAAAAAATGTAATATTATATCTGATGCGCTTTCTGGTTCTCATCCAATTTCCAACATCATGGTATGTGATCTGCTTGTGTTAGAAGGTGCATTAAAATAAAGTACCACAAGCATAGCATATGCAAAGTGCCAGTGTGCTATGAAGTGCTTGAGTGCCTGTTTAACTAAGTTTGAAGAACCAATAGGTCGTGCCTAGTGGCGTTTGATCAAAATTTGCTCTTGTCATGTGGAACTTAATCCTTGGCAGTCACCATATCATAGTCCTGTAACAGTGGCAGGTGCCTGTTGCAGCATGGTTTTGACCCAGTGTTTTAATGAAATGTGAAAGGACCAAGTGTCAAATTTGTGGTGGGTGGGAGTTATTGAGATGCATGCATGGTAATATCAACTATTTTGTTCTAGGAAAGACTAAAGAACAGTTTGCAACCTATGATGAGCATACCAATAAGATTATTAGGGCAGGCAGAAGCCTGCCCCAAAAGGGTAGTCATCCCAATGGATAATATTTTGTAAATGTCACTTATCATCTCAAAGTTGGCTGATAATCAGATTGGTAGGCTGCTTTCTATGATGGTATTATTGTGAGTTACAGAACTTTGTGAAACCTTTATTAATTCAATTTAATAATTTCTGCCACCAAATTAAGATAAGCTGCATTAAGTTAAAAGTTGTGCACTACCTCAGCTCCTACAGGATCTTTCAAAATATTTTATGGTTTGCAGACTGGATAAGAGTATATTTTTTGTTGGGCTTGACCCATCTGAGATGTCGAAGGTAAAAATATTAGTGGGCTGATTGAGCTATGCATGGCAGCATAGTTTGATGACAGAGCTGTAGAGATAACACCCAATTGCAAAATGTTCCAGCATGAGTACTATATTCATTGCACTACTCAGTGCACATAAAATCTGGAAGGAAATAAGGTGTATGTTATGGGTTTAACAGGCAATAACAATTTGTTTTAGCTTTTTTAGCTTATGTTAGCATTTTTAGCATTTGTAGCCTTTTTGTTTTTGTTTTTATTGATTGCATGAGGCTACAAGTAGCTTAAACATTGAAAATTTGACCATAGTTCCTCATTTATTGATACAAAATTGCAAGTGCAATGCTTACATATGGAGAACACATATTTATATATTGATACCCTCAATAGATAAATCATAATACTTGCTTTTCAACTGGCTCACTGACTTATCATACACTTCTTGACATATTTTTTCCCACTCATCCAACAAATGGCACATCTGGCTTGATGAGGGCAGCCCTATGATGGCTGTGATAGTGTCTGTCCATTCTGATGGCCCAGTTACAGTGCCTGCTTTCCAATCCACCTACACATTGCAGGGGGGTTAAATCTGATCAGGTGCTCACTATTTCTATTTGACAGGCATTCCCTGCAGCCAGTGGCAGTGGCCACAAAAGATCAGGGAATGCTAGAAGGCAGGATGAACCCTGTTTAACATTGCAACACATGACTCCCACCATCAAATTCTGTCATTGATGTGACATTGTGTGATGAGATGGCAAGGGGTCAGGGCTCACACAGCAAGCAATGCTTAGTGTGTTCTCTGATCCCAGAAATACATCCATTCAATACCTTTGGCTGAAGTCTTTAGAAAAATAAATAGTGGAGCTGGCTTGACTCTCCTTGCAATGCAGGACCCAGCATGACCAGAATGTGTGAGATTTAGAGTATTCATCCCACTTATGTCAACAATTGAACAATGTTGAAATGTTCAATGTGTTTGTTCCACTAATTGGTGGAGACAATGCCACCCAATGTGACTTTGTTCATGCATGTGCTGGTGTGTACCTAACAGAACAGGAATCAAGTCCTCTGGAGATGCTCTTAATGCATCTATATGAGCTTCTTCCAGCCTCCTGCCCATTGTTTGGCCTTGCCTGTGATATCACACTTAGTCCACACTGTTGGGGGTTTCAGGTGAAGCATGGCATCTTACGGAGAGCGCCTTCCTCTGTCCATTGACGACCTCAGCGATACGGACGAGGTGGAGCTGGGAGACAGCCCGTTGGCCGGTTACGGCCGGCCCTCGTGCGTGGACGGCTGCACGCCAGCGGATGGCGGCTCTGTGCCCGCCCAAAGTCGGTGGTTTGGTGGAGCCGGAAACCCGGTCCTTGGCGCCGGTAATGAACACCAGCCCGGCAGAGGTGCGCCCGCCCTGGACGACTGGGCAGACCCGGCCACATTCGGCACCACGCTGCCGCACCTCAGCGAGCCGACAAACAACAGCCCACAGGCGGACCACACCCGTGAGCAGATGCCCTTCCGGGATGGGATGAGAGGAGATGTCCCTCTAAGATGGAATGAGAGGAGATGTCCATCCGAGATGAGAAAGGAGGAGATACCCCTCCCAGATGCACTTTGAAATTTTGATTGCATTGGCTTACCACAGCCTTTTCTTTTCACACATTTGCTTTAGTTGTCAGTGCGGATGTGTCGCTGGTGTCCAGCGGGTACCGACACGAACCACCGCAGTCGTCAATAGTGATGACATCGCTGCCTGCTCCGCCGTGTCCCGTCTGGTGGTCCAGCCGGCGTGCCTGTCTGTCGCAGCGTCGCCGCTGCCGCCGCCGTCGGCCCCCCGGCCCGGCTCGCCCGGCCGCCGCCAGCCGGGCGTGCAGGACCGTCTAGAGTCGCTTAAGGCCTGGGGCGTCACGACCTACAAGTGCTCGCGGCAGCTGATCGCCGAGCGACTGGGACGCGCCGAGCCGACTGTGGACACTGGTCAGTCTGCCAGCCGGTCGGCGGGGGGCGCCGCCGGTAGGGCTCTAACCGAGCCCTGTCCGCCGGTCAGACTGCCAGCCGGTCGGCGGGTGGGCGCCGCCGGTGGGGCTCTCACCGAGCCCTGTCCGCCGGTCAGACTGCCAGCCGGTCGGCGGGTGGGCGCCGCCGGTGGGGCTCTACCGAGCCCTGTCCGCCGGTCAGACTGCCAGCCGGCCGTCGGGTAGGCGCCGCCGGTGGAGCTCTAACCGAGCTATCCGCCGGTCAGTCTGCCAGCCGGCTGGCGGGTGTGCGCCGCCGGTAGGGCTCTAACCGAGCCCTGTCCGTCGGTCAGACTGCCAGCCGGTCGGCGGGTGGGCGCCGCCGGTGGGGCTCTCACCGAGCCCCGCCCGCCGGGAGGCTCGCGGCCTCAGCTTGTGAGGCGTTTGGTTTTGTCCGCGTTACTGTTGGTGGTTATGGGCGGGTTGTATTCTTATGTGCTTGATGGGTTGTGCGTGCGTCATGCATGCTTTTTCAGTCTCTGCCAGTGTGAGCGGTCCGACATACAGGAACGGGGGCGCGCTTGCTTGTCAGTAACTTGCGTGCTCTGTATAGCTCATACTCATGTAAGCAAAACAGCATTATGGAAAGTGTCGCTTAAGTGCGTACGCCTACGACGCTCGCATATTAGCAGCCTAAATGTGTATAGGATGATGTGTTTAACATCCCCGTGACGTTTGTTTCAGAAATAAATGCTCAAGTAATTGTTCTCCGGGATACGCAGGCGCGATATCGTGACCTCGTGAGGGTTTCGCAAGCACTGTCGTCGCATATAAGTAATATGCTTGCCTCCCAGGTAGGTGGTGCCTTCATGTTTTAATGTACCCTTCTGTATGCCGATTTGTGACTCTCGAATGTGTTGTCTAAATAGGAAGAAGGGCATCTTTCTGGGTTGATTAAAGAGAGGGATCTGCCCACACAGGGCATGAGTATGTCAGGTCAGTTATCAGGTCACTTTGACCCAGCTCACACAAAACAAATGTGCCACAGGGTTTGGCATATAGCAAGGTGGGGTTAGATCGTAGACATATCAAGCATGTGACACGTAACACACAATACGGCGTCGGACCAGTTCGTGGAGGTGCAAAGATGGCTTGTCCGCCGGTAATGATAGCTCCCTTGATGTGTTGGGGACAGCGAATCGGGTGTCTCTTTAAGGAGCGTGTGAGATGGCTAGCAGCCGGCGACAACAGCAGGCAGCTAGTGGCCAGCGACGAATATTTTCATGAAAGCTCCAGATTTTGAAAGACGAGGCGTGCCAGATAAACCGTGTGATGTTTGCTGTATTAAAAGGGAACAGAATATAATGGTCCTGCTAGAGTTCTTCAACACTTACAAATTAACTTACTACCAAATGATTGAGAGAAAATCACGAGCATGAACAGATCAACTCATAATCACACGACATTAAAACATGATATGTCGCGACTTCTGCGCCCTCTCCGGCCGTAGTGCTATGAACTGGAACGCTGCGGCAATGAAAGAGCGAATTGTACTTGCCTTCCTTTATCCCGTGTGAACGTTCAAATGGTACGGAATTGGTACAGCTTAAATGAAAAGCTCATAGCAGGACCAAGGTACCCAATGTGCCAGGAAAATTAAGATATGCCACAACTTTCTGCACAACGCATGGATTTTATGACGGGGTGAGCCCCTTTGAACTCCTTTGTAACCCCCTTGTAGTCAAAATTGTGCCTATCTACTGCCGCGTTAAGGCCTACACTGAGGCACGGCAGTCGGCGGTCAGCTCGCGCTCGGCGGCAGCTGCGGAAGCTGCTCGGCTGCAGCCGGGGAGCTGCTCGGCTGCAGCTGCGGGAGCTGCTTGGCTGCGGCTGGGGAGCTGCTCGGCTGCAGCTGGCCGTCGGGGCCTGACCTACGTCCGGTTGCAGCTGCAGTTGGGTGAGCTGTTTGAGAAGCTGGGGCAGCGCAGTCCCGAGCTGCGGGACGAGTTCGGCTGTAACGCCGCCTCGCACCGGGCGCTGCACGAGAGCGGCCGGCCGCTGCGTGAGGCGCTGGTCTTCTTCGTCTCGTCCGTCCAGACACTGTGCGAGCAGACGATCGAGGACACGCTCGCCACCGTCAGACAGTACGAGGCCGCCCGGTGAGTTGCTAGCAGGCGATCTAGGACACGCTCGCCACCGTCAGACAGTACGAGGCCGCCCGGTGAGTTGCGAGCAGACGATCGAGGACACACTCGCCACCGTCAGACAGCACGAGGCGGCCCGGTGAGTTGCGAGCGGACGATCGAGGACACGCTCGCCACCGTCAGACAGTACGAGGCCGCCCGATGAGTTGCGAGCAGACGATCGTGCGACGTCTGATCGTGTCGGTCGTGACGTAGTGCGACGCGCGCCGTGCCGACCCGTGCGCAGTGAGCTCTTACTGTCATGGTCAGACCAGTGGCCGACGGAGGGATTTTTTCCACGCTTTTTATTGCTTATTAAAACCGACTGCCAGAAACCACCTGTATCAAAATTTCAAGCACGGTGAAACGTTCAGTAGGCCAGAGGGCATCTGACTTGCATCGTAACTTGCATCGTTAATTTACTGAATGGGAAGGGTAAGTTAACGATGCAAGTTACTTGCAAAGGACAGTTCGTGTCAGCATGGCTCCTAACTCTACAAAGCTGCAGTAAAAGTAAGGGCGGGCTGCGAAAAATGCAGACGGACATAAATTACAACAAAGTTTTCAAAAGCGGATTTTCCGGCTCCGCTGTCTGGTTGAAAGATCGAGGACTGACTGTCAGCGGCAGCACTGTGCGACGCGTAAAACTCTCCGCGCTGCTGCCAGAGCGCAAGCAAACCAGCTGGTGGGCAGGGCGGTACAGCTTGGGTGGCCGGTTTAACGTACACTGTGGCAGGCTCTGCTCAACCAGTATACTACACCCTGAGACATGCACCCGAACCATTCGGAGTAAAGTAAAAAGTATTGATGTGTACAAAAAGAAGGCAGGAACAATATCCCCCATTCACGCGCATCATGTAAGCTCAATTCTAAGGTGCTGAAAATTCTGGACTTTTGACAACGACAAATTGCGACAGTCTTTGCCGGCTGGCGAAAACTGCTGCACGCAAACCTAATGCTACACGTCAAAATGTGGTAATTCAATCACCCAAGCCACTCGAAATGTGATATCAACCTTAGAAATGCAATGCGATTGCTTATTTGCCTTGTAACCGCGTTGTAGGTAAGGCGTCGGTTGTTTCATGTCGACAGCTTGTCGCTGGCCATCAAATGGCGAGATGTAAACCTAGAGCATATTTGTTGTCAACCAGATGGGAAATACAGGTCTGGAAACCCTGAAGCAGGCTTGCAAGGTATGGGTTTTGATCCACTACATGTTTTAGGGGTTTGCAGGTTCAGCTTCAGACTACATATGCATATCACGAAGGCAATGCAGTGGCACCGACGTTTATTATTCACATGATCAATGTTATATTGACATACAAGTTTCGAGGCATCAGCTAGTAGTTACTGGCATGCAGCAGATTATTCTACATTCAGCCGTCCTTCTGGTTCATGTGTGTGATATTATGCGTCTGTGTCAGCTGGTGCAGGAGGCATCCACGCTTCCGGATGGTGCACGTCGCGGCTAGCAGTCAAGGAACACACAGGCCATGGTCAATGGTCACACAAACCATGGTCAATGGTCACACAGGCCATGGTCAGTGGTCACACGGGTCGTGGTCAATGGTCACACAGGCCGTGGTCAGTGGCCACACAGGCTATGGTCAGCGGTCACACAGGCCATGGGTAACGGTCACGCAGGTCATGGTCAGTGAGGCCATGGTCATTGTTAGACAGTTCATGGTTAATGGCCACACAGGCCATGATCAGTGAGGCCATGGTCATTGTTAGACAGCTCATGGTTAATGGTCACACAGGCCATGGTCAATGGTCGTAGAGTCAGTTCGGATATTTCCTTACTTAAGTTAAAGGAAATATGATCCATTCTGATTTACGACATCAGGACATAAAATTAGCTGAAATTCTGCCACTTTGTGCCGATTTTAACCAGTTAAAACCAGAACATTGCGGACAGTTATTTTAGCTGTCTGAAATGCCAACCATGCGTACTGTTGTACCATAGCGTAGTACACCGCTTGCGGCCCTGGTCCGGTCTGTGGCTGGACCCCCGCGTCACGGTGACGTGTGGCGTGCATCGTGTGAACATCCGACAACTCGCCGGGGTGGAGTACGTCTGTTGACTGCGCTGTCCGGGTGGAGTACGACCGTTGGCTACGCCGTCAGGGTGGAGTACGTCTGTTGACTGCGCCGTCAGGGTGAAGTACGACTGTTGACTGCGCCGTCAGGGTGGAGTACAACTGCTGACTGCGCCGCCAGGGTGGAGTACGTCTGTTGACTGCGCTGTTAGGGTGGAGTACGGCTGTTGATTGCGCCGCCGGGGTGGAGTACGTCTGTTGACTGCGCCGTCAGGGCGGAGTACGACTGTTGACTGTGCCGCCAGGGTGGAATACGACGCGTACCGGGCCGACCTGGAGTGGGCGCAGCAGCAGAGCCAGGCGCCGGCCGGCGCGCCGGCCCTGCTGGCCGAGGCACAGCGGCAGCATGACCTGCGGCGCGCCGAATACGAGCGGCTCCGAGAGAAAGTCTCCGTCAAGTTGCGCCTTCTGGATGAGAACAGGGTGAGTCGGCCTGCTGATGTCACAAGGCCCGCTGACGTCATGAGGCCTGCTGACGTCATGAGGCCTGCTGATGTTATAAGGCCTGCTGACGTCATGAGGCCCGCTGACGTCATGAGGCCTGCTGATGTCATAAGGCCCGCCGACGTCGTGAGGCCTGCTGACGTCATGAAGCCCGCTGACGTCATGAGGCCCGCTGATGTCATGAGGCCCGCTGATGTCACAAGGCGCGCTCACGTCACGAGGCCTGCTGACGTCACGAGGTCTGCTGATGTCACAAGGCCCGCTGACGTCACGAGGCCTGCTGACGTCATGAGGCCTGCTGATGTCATAAGGCCTGCTGACGTCATGAGGCCTGCTGACGTCATGAGGCCTGCTGACGTCATGAGGCCTGCTGACGTCATGAGGCCTGCTGACGTCATAAGGCCTGCTGATGTCATAAGGCCCGCCGACGTCATGAGGCCTGCTGACATCATGAGCCTGACGGTTTCCGCTGACGGCACGGACACTGGACAACTGTGGAATTGGGATGAAGGCGTTGGTGGGCGGGGAAGGCCGTGGCACGGATGCCAATATATGTTTAGTTATCAGTGTGATGGACTAGGAAGTTTGCTTTTCCGGTTACTAGGGTGCAATGAGGTTGCCAAATGAGCGTACTTAGAATTATTATTGGCTTGGGGACCCGGTAACTTTGTCATAGAGGTGTTGCTGACAATTATACGCTGACAGTGGAACATTCGTCGAAAGGCCGGAGGTTTAAGTTTGAGGAAGGTTTTAGTTGCCGGCTTAATCTCATATTCTTACGATGTATAGGTGTGAAAGACGTTGAATACCCGACGCATAGCACTCGTTTTCGTTTCGTTAGAGCCAGCCTGTACATGCCGTGATATAGCCGTGCCGTCTTATTAGCATTACAACTGTGTGCACTTTGGTTTGGAGTGAGCAATACCAGCGGTCTGGGCTTGTTTGGGCCGGACTGCCTTTGTCGACGGTATCGTCACGCTGTGACCGGATGGCGCCATGACTGCCAGGTGAAGGTGATGCAGAACCAGCTGATACTGTTCCACAAGGCCGTCTCCAATTTCTTCTCCGGGAACTCGGTGGCCGTGAAGGCGACGCTGGCGCACCTGAGCGCCATGAGTCTGGGGGCGGGCGACGGCAGCACCGCCGGCCGACCCGGCGCCGCCTGAGGCCAGAGGTCAGCGGGAGGTCACGTGAACTCTGACAGCGGTCTCGGCGGCCGGCTCAGCTCATCACTCGACGATGTGTCAGCCGCGAATGAGGCAACAGCTTGACTCCGGGCGCAGAAGGGCTCCGACAAGCATCCGTAGTTCAGCACGAGGCGGGGCGGGGGGGGGGGGGGGGCGCTCGAAGCCAGGCACAGTCGCCGAGATATCAACCGGAGGTCAGTCACGTGCGAGTGATGCCTCGGCGTGAAGTCACTGGTTACTCCACGGCTAAGCAAAGCATCCGTACTGCGCTGGGGCGAGCTCGGCCTCATCTCGGCCTTGGGCTGGTGATCTGACCATTGTGTTCTGCCCTCATTGGTGCCTCGATATGTGCATTTGGCGTGCCGGCGCGCCGCGGAGCAATCGCTGCTCCCCAGCCGGATTTCACGGGATCCAAGCGTCTCGACTTCGCAAATCGCTGCGTTTGGTAGTTGTCAGCTGGCTCCCAGATTACCCGTGGAAAGACTGGTTTTATATGGGTCCCAGGTGATGCAGCCGTTGTTTTCTGCGGGTGCTTGAGCGTTTGAGGATGGCCCTGTCGTTGCGCGTCCGTCCACGGTTTACAGCTGTGTCCTAGTCCGTGCAAGCAATGCATCTCACACACGTGACAGTGGGGCTTAAAGCCTACAGTCGGCAATCATTTTTCGGTGTACTTTGCCTGATGACCTGTAAATTTAGCAGTTAGATCAGCTTATCTATGGGAAAGGCAGCGCGCGGGGATGTTTCAAATTAGGCGCATCCGAGAAAGGCATGCTTTCGCAGTGCCTGCCACAGTACCTGCCTGCCGCATTGTGCTGCGGCTCCTGGAGTCGCTCCTGTGTGACTCAGGTGATCTGGACCCCGGGAGTCGCTCCTGTGTGACTCAGGTGATCTGGACCCCGGGAGTCGCTCCTGTGTGACTCAGATGATCTGGACCTGGGAGTCGCTCCTGCCGCGGCTCCAGGAGTCGCTTCTAGTGCGACACCGCTTTGTGCTGCGACCCGGGGAGTCTTTCCTGCTTCGACTCTGGGAGTCTCTCCTGCCGCCCCGGGAGTCTGTCTCGCTTCGGCTCCTAGAGTCGACTGTGGCGCTGCGACTCCGGAAGTCTCTCCTGCCGTGGCGCTGGCGGGCCTCCGTGAACGTTGACTTGCCTGTCAGGCTGGGCCGGTAGCTATCATCGTGGGGAGTCCGATTGGCAGCCATGTGTCGCGGTTTACCATCCGCCCCTTGCCGGACGACGGATAGCAGGCTGCTTGGCGTCGTCCTGCCGACGCGCGCCGCCTGGTGCAGCCAGCTGGCCCACGCCGCCGGCCGCCTTCCTCGAGCAGCCTCCTGTCAACTGGTGCATTCCCGAGACTTAGATGCTTTGTAAATGCGTTTCTGCGTTATAGGCTTTTGGACAGCCTGTTTGTTACAGTGCTCGCTTTCATGTTCTCGGCAGATATATCATGCTGTAATCCACAAGAGTTTTTTGGTTTTGTTTTTTGTTGCCACACTCGTCTACTTCGCATTGTCCACTGGATTGTCGGCTGCAGCAAACTGCTGGCGATGTTGATTCACGTCGTTTTTGCACGTGTGCATTTTTCAAATAAGTATCTGGTGTTTTTCCTGTTAAATTGCATGGCAATTGAATGTTTATGAAGTGATATGCAATTATTTGTGATAGTACGTGCTACTTAATAAACTATATATCATTTGAAAATAAATAAGTTGGCTTGTGCAGGGACTGCTTGGTAACTTTTCCATGGGATCGCTCTGACCGAGTGGGGGAAGCGGCTGACCATGGGACCACTCTGACCGAGTGGGGGTAGCGGCTGACCATGGGACCACTCTGACCGAGTGGGTTAAGCGGCTGACCATGGGACCACTCTGACCGAGTGGGTTAAGCGGCTGACCATGGGACCACTCTGACCGAGTGGGTTAAGCGGCTGACCATGGGACCACTCTGACCGGGTTGGGGTAGCGGCTGACCATGGGACCACTCTGACCGAGTGGAATAAGCGGCTGACCATGGTCGGCCGCTCTCACGCCGGCCCTCTGGGGAGACGGTGCTGGGAGGGTCTCCTCGAGGACGTTTTTAATGGTACGGTGGTGAAATTTTCGTATTTCGACCGTTTCGTACAATAGCTCGTCCCAGCTCTTCGTGAATCCATCCCCTTCATGTCGCTTAGCGCAGTCCCTGCAGTCAATCACTGTGGGCTGGGATGGCCTGAAGGTCAGGCATGGGAACGAAGACAAGCTTCTGGCTTCGGAGCCGAATCCGAGACAAAGACAGGCACACAAAGCCTAAGTCGAAGCAGAATCCGATGGCTGCGAATTTTGAAAATGCCGAACCGAAGCTGACCTCGAGCTATATAAACTCAAAGCCGGAACCGAAGTCGGTGGCTTCGTCAACAAGGAAAAATGAAACCAGTCTGAACCCACCAGTGTGAAGTAACGAGGCCGAGATCGGACAAGGTCGTTCTGCGACACCAAAACTATTTTCGTTTTTGCTAAAGTGTATGGGATCAGACGATATCATGGCGCGGTGGCGTGGTTATGACCAGGTGTTAGCATTGCGACTGATATTTTTTTGAACTACCATTCTCGTCTCGTGTTTGCCATGTACGTACACAAAGTTTCGCTAACCAATTGTTAGATTTCAGCCGTATATATGTCGCAGCCTAGAAGAGTTGTCGGTAAGTATTTAGATGGCTAGGACGTGCCAAACTGCCTTTGTAATGTTTAGTCGCAAATGCAGCGAGAAATTGCTACAATACCGGGCCAGCGACGTAAGTTCGCATGAACCCGAAGCCGGAACCATAGCTCAAAATTTGTTCGAGTCAAAACCGAAGACGGCAGTTAAGGATGGTGCAAGGCAAGAGTCGAAGCATTAGTCAACCGTTTAGAATGGCATAAAGTCGAAGACGAAACGTAGGATAGTCAGTCTAGGAAAGCCGAAGTGAAAATGGAAGCTAAATTCACTTCAAGACTGCTGAAGGCTGTGCATTTTGTTTCATTGTTCAGGATATCTCGGAGCTTTTGCACTCGCATCCATTCCATCCTGAATGTCTGTGTATCGTACACCGGCGCAGTGACCGCACGGTCCCGTGAAGTATATTTTGCGGATGTCAGGCAGGACGTTGAACACGCGTCGTGTAGTCTCAGTTATACCTCAGCAGACGCCGCTCTACACACCGATAATTGAAACGGGGATCGTATTTCTAACCGTAAGTGCCGTTTGAATACACCATCACCGTGAAGTGCGTGTTAGTCAACCCTGAGAGACGGAGCTCGCGGAACTCTGCTATCGGTTGCAAAGCTGGTGCCCCGAAGGAGCCTGCATCCACAAGTTTCAGCTACAGAACCCTGTAGAACCCCGTTCTCATCTACGTAACGAGAACACCCGCACCAAACGACAGCACAACCCATGAGGCGCCGCTGCCGACGCTCAGCAGGAGCCGCACGCCTTCTTGCAGTGGACGGTCATGTAGTCCGGGTTGGCGTCGCACTCGCCGGCGGCGGCCCAGCGGGCGCAGCGGCCGTCCGTGTCACCGCAGCCGGTGACGCCGGCCGCCGCCGCGGCACCGCACAGGCCGCACGCGCGTCGGCAGAACACGCTCATGTAGCTCCAGTTGGCCGTGCACTGGTTGGTGGCCGCCCACTGGGCGCAGGAGCCGCTGCGGTCGTCGCATGCTGTCCCGCCGGAAGGCATTAGGGTCAGCAGGAGGTCAGCATCAGGGTCAGCACGGCTGAATCTCAGGCGATGCGCTGACAGTGATACGTGCCATAACATTGAGCGATATTTGATTCCGTCGTACACGTTTTCCAAAGCTGCTTAAAGCATGTGTGTAAACGAACACGGTTTGTGCTGGACACGCCCGACATAATGGATGCTATTTACCGAGAAACATAGCGTCGGGGATTTCGCATAGATCCGCAGCGCATGAACTGGATCAAGGCAGTTCATGCTGGTGCTTTCTATTGCGTAAATAAGCTGGTCCGCAGTGTCATAGCTTAGCCGCCAGGCGGTATACGGCATGCAAATCCAGAAGCGCGCCGCGGTGTCCATTGTGGGCGGGAATGTGTGGCAACTATCCGTTCGTAGATATTGTAATGCACATGGTGCTCATGTTTATGAACTTTCCTCATGAGGGTACCTGATTTCAACGTAGATAACCAATTGTTCTTCATATTTGCTTGGATCTTACGAGCTGGTTTGTATGCGCGAAGCATTTCAAGTGGGCCCATTTTTAGGAAGCATTTTGTCGCCGAACTGATCCATGTTTTGGCTCGGACAAATTTGAAAGCAGTTTTTTTTGCAGCTCTCGAGCAACACTAATGCATGGCCGATTAAGTGTCCGATTCACTGGTAATCCAGGAAGCGATGACGTCATTTTAGAGTTAAGTTTAAATCAGTTTGGCCGCGTTTGGAGAGTCTTCTTTACCTTATGCAGCCGTGAGTTTGGCTATGCACTGACCACAAACATGCACCACTGACATGGACAGCCTCGCTGAGCAAAAACAGCTGCGTAATTGTGGGCTGTGGTCCGGCCCCTTATAGCCCACCTCCTCGCCAGCGCCAGGCCGAGCCACTTACCGCCGCAGGCGCCGCACGACTGTGCGCAGTTGATGGCCATCCAGTTCTTGTTGCGCTCACACTCTCCGCCGTCAGCCCAAAAGCGGCACCACTCGGCGACGTCACGGCACGTGGCTGCCGGCGGCGCGGCCGTGGTCGCGCCCGGACCGCCGACGTCGCAGCCGTACAGCCGGTTCAGCTTGGCCACGTCCGTGGCGGAGAAGCCGTTCCGCTGACCCATCTCGGAGCTCGACTGCAGCGGCGTGATGGTGGGGCGCGTCGGGTCGGCCGCAAACGCCCGCGGCCCGTAGTGGAGCACCGAACCCACGTCGTACGGCTCCCCCAAGTCCAGCGTTTGACTCCAGGGCTTCTTATGGAAGTTATACTCCATGCCGGCCCGGATGTTGTCCCAGTGGATGAGCACGTGTTCGTCGCGGTCGGCGCGACTCTGCTCGTGCCAGAAGCCGGCGGCATGCAACAGCTCGTGGATGACGATGCCCGTGTAGAGGCAGCCTTCGCCCAGCGACAGCTCCTGCCGGCCGCCGAGTACGCCAACGTCGCTGCTGCAGCCGCGACCCCTCTTCACGTGCACGTAGTCGGCCTGGCCGTCGCGCGGCACGAGCCGCAGGCAGGAGCGCGTCGCGAACGCCTGCGCCGCGCGCGCCACCACCGCCCGCTCGTGCGCGCTGAACGACGACGAGATGGTGTAGGGGATCTGCCCGCCGGGCCAGAGCCTGCTGGGGTTGAGGACAGCGTTGCGCAGGAGGGCGCCGTCGTCGACGAGCGTCTCGTCCCAGTCGGCCAGGGCGCCCAGCTGCTCGGCGTCGGCGTGCGCGATGTCCCCCTCGAATAGGCCGGCCAGCTCGATGGGATCCGCGCCGCCGGCGCCGCTCCGTGGCGCGTCGTCCGACACATGCTCCGCGTTGTCGAAGTCCTCCGGCGTCAGCGGCAGTCCGTACTCGTCATCGTCCTCGGCGCTGGGAGCGTTCCAGGGCGCCTGCGGCCGACCGGAGCCTCCCGAGCGCTTCAGCCAGACTGGCGGCGGCGGTGGCCGGCTCGAGTCGCTCTCAGAGCGTTTGCGCCAGGCTGGCTGCAGTGAGTTGGAAGCGGCGGCGACGCGTTTGCTCCAGATGGGTGGCGGCGGCGGTGGCGACGATCCCTGCCCGGCCCGTTTACTGCCAGCTGGCGTCGGCGGCGTGCCGGCCCGGCCCGTGACGTTCCCTGCGGCGTTCCCGGCCGCTGTCACGGCACGCTGCTCATCGCCGGCGCGCTTGTACCAGCCTGTCCACCTGCGGGGGCCGAGCTCGCCGCGTGCCCGGCTCATGATGTCGAGCACGTCATCGGGAAGGCGAAGGGTGGTGGCAGCGGCCAGCGTGGCGAGCAGCGCGCCCACTCGCAGCGTCTGCATGGTGACTGGTGACCCCCGCCCGCCGGGCGCGGCCGCCTATATAGGGGACCGGCGTCGACAGGGGTGCCGCCATAGGGGCTCGAAGACGACAAACACGGGCCCGCGTGACGGTTGGGCTGTCCGGGCCGCTGGCCGGCGGCTGGTCGGGTGCAGCTGCCGACGCCCGGAGCTCCGGCGCGGCCCCACCCCTCGGCGACCCGGCGTGGGGCGGGCCGTGCCGAGGAGGTAAACAGGAGGGGGTCGATGGACGATCGAGCTCCTCCAGCCGGCCGCGCCCCAGCCGCGTGCCGATAACTACCGAGAAGGCTCCACGTGACGCGCCCGAAGCGCACGATTTGTCCTGGTTTGAAAATGACCGGTTCTCAGGAAATTGGTGCTTAAACAAGGAGGCGCGTGTCCAAATATTTGGTCGCGCGGCATACCGGCAGGGGAGCTCCGGAATTAGTAGCGTTTTGTTCGTTGGGTCGGACAGTCGGCTGTTGGAACACACTTCATTGATGTAGATGGTGCGGGTTTGCCTTATCTTTATTTAGTGTTTTATGATTCGTCATGATTTTTCCATGTTGAGTTTAGTCTGTCGGGTTTGAACATCGCTTTGCAGTGGTGGGGAATTAATACAAAGGTGGTGAAAAAGTACAAAAATGGCAGAAGGAAACGGAGAGGGCGGATCTCTGACGATTGTGAACACGACAGCGGGTTGGCCAGATAAAGTCTTCAATCACGTTACATGTTTGTTCTCTATCGTAAATCACATAGGCGTAGGGACGTCTCAAAAAGGGAGGGGGCCAAACTCACGGCGTACTTCAGGAACTTTTCTGGAAAACAAGCCCGATGACCGAGGGGGGGGGGGGAGAGAGTAGAGATGGAGGTTATCGCTCTTTATTCAAATGCAAGGGCTGCTATTCTAGATATGCATCTAGAGCTGATTCTCACTGGTGCACACTCTTGCCTATCCAACTCATCTGTCATTCGGGAAATAAGGCTTCCAGCTTCCCAAGATTATTCGTCCATTTCAACGATGTCTCCCGGGGAGTCGAAATTCCACGAGCGGGTAGGCATTTTGGGACATTGAGAAGGCATCTGTCTCCACAGGGTAGATGCCAAAATATGGCCTACGCATAGGCCGGTGAGAATTTTGAAAGTGAATGGATGGCTCACATCGCAACAGATTTTGCATGGGCCTTCATTTCGCTGGCTGCATTTCAAGACATAGGTCTTGTCGCGGTATTTTAGGTGGAAACAAATTCAGAAGCTTGGAACTGCCAGAAACCATGCGACAAAAGCCATGGAACCGGAGATTCTCCTTTGAAAACCAAGCTACAAAATGAAGGCCCTTCTGTCGTATATTCCTTGTCTGAGCCCTGCTCCCGTTCCCCGTCGGTGGCCACTTTCCTGACACGGCTGTCTCCGAATGACTGACCGCGAACTGATGACATGGCTACTTTGTTGCACATGCAACAGTACCTTTTTCCGAATTATTTTTCCTAACACCACACTATCCCAGACCACCGGGAAGCTGCCTACTTTAGGTATGAATTGGCCCAACGGACATTTAATTGCCCGTCATTCAACGTAGATGACTTGATCTGCTTTTGTGTGTAGGCGGGGGTAGCCAGAGCCTTGCTAAGAGGAACACAGGGTTGACAAAAGCCCCCTTAATGGTGATCCCCCACAAAAATATCCCCGGATGTAGTTTGCTTGTTAACAAGAGATACAGTTTTCTTCGTTTCATTGTCATTTTTACGTTGTAGCCAGAACAGAAACCAGGAGCTACCGTGAAACCAATTTTGTTTGCATTTTGAACACGCGCGCGGGTGGCCGGTTAGTTTACCCTTCGCTCGGGTGCGGGTCAATTTGACCCCCCTGAGATCTCGGGACATAAGAGAGCTAGAGACACCAAATTCACAGGGTATGTTGACCTGTACACGAAATCACTTAAGTCAAAGTTTGAGGTTCCTGGGTCATGACTTTTGGGTCAAATAAGGTCAAACAAGGTTAAATTCCAGGTTGGTCTCTAAGTGTCCCCAGAACCTACATAACTGTTTCTAAGCAAAAGGTCACATGTTCAGTTAAGGTCAGTGACCTTGTTTGACCTTTTGAAGGTCATGGTGACCAAAATCATGCAAGACTGCTCTGAGTTTTGCATTTAAATAAGCGAGAAAGATTACGCTAGGCAGTATGTTTCTAAAAACAAAATGTTGACCTAGGTCATTTTAGGTCAATGACCTATTCTGACCTCTAAGAGGTCCATGGAAGATGTATAAAGCGGTTCCTGCTGTCAGTAAATTATAAATGAACACCAGAAACTATCCCATACGGCAAGCCCTAGAGTAGTAAGACAGGTTGGTTTTGACCCTGGTCTGACCCTTAAACCTGACCTTAGGCCAACGTAGTTTGCTCATTCAATATTTTGGTTGCCTAAGAAAGCATCTCAGTGATGTATGGCTGCGTCTAATACTCCATTGTTGCATCAGATTAAACGCTTCCCTAGAAGTTGACTTCGCTGAAACCATGGCCTGACTTTGACCTGCCGTAGGTCAGCGACCTTACAAAGTACATCTAGTTTTGGATGCCAAACGATCTGCTATTCAATTGTCTACAGCTATACAAGACATGGCACGGCTGCGCCACGCCGTTCAGAAACCATTCTGGAAAAACCTTCGGGGTGCGAGTCAATTTGACCCCCTCCCGAGCGCGTGTTAAGGTCAGTAAACTGCACAAATCAGGCGTTTAACGACCGCATGGAATAAATCACCCGTGTTCTTAATTTGCGAGGGCTTAGTAGATTCTATCTAAACCGATATAATTCAGAAGGTTTTCCATAATGTTTTACCCGCGTTCTACAGACACTGAGGACATCGCGAAAGTAGATTGTAGATAGATATGTTTGATCGAAATTTGAGGGTGAAAGTCTTGATTGTAGATCGAGTGGACAGCAATGTGTATTGTCATCGCCAAGCCATATTTGTCTGGATATGTTTAGTATTTAGTGAGCATTGATTAGTGATGCAATTTATAGAACGTGGTTTTGACATGCGCGCTCGCAAATCTTAACAAAAAACCTCGACACCAGGCGTTGCAGTTTCCCTAATCCGCGGATTGGTTATGTGGTTGACTTTTCGTCATGGTCCACCGGTGGACGAAAATGACAACGGTTCTGAAATAATTACTTTTAAACACTTGAATCGGTTAGTAATACAAGTTATGTAAGATAATTTTGAACATGCGTACTCGCAAATCTTAGTTTAAAAAAATATCGACGCCAGGTGTTGCAGTCTCCGCAGGCCGCGCAGCGTTGTCCGAGCAGCTGATACTGAGCCGTGGTTAACGGGTGGACGAAAATGATGACGCTTCGGAAAGAAGCACTTTGAAGGCTTCAGGACTTTAAATATTACATCTAGAAGGCAGTCTGGGCTCATATTTCCCGTGTGCGATTTTTAGACTGATCACAAGCATGCATTGACCCTTAACGCACCGCGAAGTGGGGCTGGAATGTGGTGGTGGAACTGGAAGAGTAAAGGTATTATTCCGATTTTTCGTGTTTCGGTAACTATTAATCTGTCAAGAAGACGGATTAACACGGCTTCCGCCGTCTGGTGGCACTTGCAGAGGCTGACGCCGGTCGGTTTTACGGATGCTGCAACCCAGACCATCGCTGTCCTTGTTCTCGAGGGTCGCGGGCGAGTATGTTCAAACCTTTTGATGATTTTTTTCACCAATCCATTCTGAAAGTATGAACGTTCTTAGGCAAATATGGGATGGCCTTGCTCGTTTTTAAAAAAATTAATTCCGACCTACTGTGCTCAACAATAATGTGGTCGAACTGGAAGAGTAAAGGTAAAATCTCTGTTTTTCGTGTTTCCACAGCTATTTATCTGTTCGGAAGACAAATTAACACAGCGCCCGCCGTCTGGTGGCACTTGCAGCGGCCGAAACTTTTCAGTTTTACGGAAGTTGCAACCCAAACCATCCTTGTCGTTGCTCTCGAAGTTGCGGGCGGGCATGTTCAAGCCTTTTGATGTAATTTGTTTCCATAAGACATTCTGAAAGAAATGAACGCTCGCAGGCAAACATGGCATAACGTTGTTCGTCTTTTAAAAAAAATCATTTCGACCCGTGCTTTTCAACAATAACGAGGGCCCCACCCCACTCAGCAATAATGAGACCCCTTATTTCCTTCCGGGTAAGGGGCCTCTTGAGTAGAACACCAGGGGTACATTACAGTTTCCGGTCAAGGGCTGAATGGTCATTCCGTCCCATCGCGAAGTGTCTTCTGGCTATCATTCTGGTGGCACGGGGCGGGATCTCCTGGTCGATCCGGAGGCCATTGGAAGGATATATGATATCACATTGTTCCTCTCCCTGACACGGGAGGCCTTCTGACCCGCGCAGTTGGCCCCGGATGAGCACAGGGACCCTCATTGACGCAATAACATCCCTGATCGGCTAAGGTGGTCCAGTAATTGCCACACAGGCTCCAGTTCCGTGTTTTTCCGTTTTCTTCAGAGATAATAAAGAATCCATGAACGTAGATTGTAGATGAAATGGGATTCTAAGCTTGTATTAACATGGTAAAACCATGTCCATGTTAAAATGTTCAAGATTGAGTCAGAACTGATTACTGCCAAAAACTATGTAATATGGTTTTGAACATACGCGGTCGCAAGTCATAGCAACAACAGCCTGAGCGCCTGGTGTTGCACTCTCCATAGGCCGCGCGGCGTTGGCCTGCGGCCGTGACTAAGCGATGGTCAATAAGCAAACGAAAAAGACGACACATCTTGAGGAAGATGGCTGGTGAACTAGGTAAATCGGCATGTGTATTTAAATGTGGTGCAAAAGTAAGCTAAACACAACCTTGATCTGAAGAGTGGGGGGCCAGTTAACAACGCTGGCCCTGCACCTTGAAAAGGGGAAGGGACATGGCCCCCTGCCCCCTGCCCCTGTTCCTACGCCCATGGGAAATCAGACTGAGGTCCGGCTGTAAGCTAATCGCTATAGTTATAGGGCAGACAATCAGCTTATCAAATGTGATTTTCCCAAAGGTGTGCTTTCGTTCGCTGTTCAGTTGCTTCGTCTCGTCGTTCTTCGTTTCGGTTTTCGTTTTTAATCGTTTTTATAGCCTCATATTCACGCACAGAAAAGGCTTGCACCGCATTTTATGGACCCGATCTTTAATGTTTGTTTTCGACTATACACGAACGCCCTCGCGAGTTTGTGTTTTCATTGAGCCGGAAATTGCCGGCTGGAGCGGAAGAACATCCTTCGATTTGGCTGACCGGCGGCTATCTGCCCACCAGCTTCGGTCGATAACTCCCAGATGGCAGCACTGACCAGTACACGCACGCCGGGCCGATCTAAATGTTCTTATGTCTCCACGTAACACTCAATGGCAGACAGACTCGTGCCGCGTACCTCCCACATGTATCCGTACGTGAATATGAGTGCAGGTTGCATATGTTGCAGTTACACCGTAATATGTTACTTGTTACGGCGGTCGATGCGAAGCTTGAGTTGCATCCTTCTTCCCGAAATCAATCTGCGCTTGTCTCGACAGGCAGTTCGTTGTGAAATCGGTGCGAAACAGCTCGTGACTACACGTTCAGCGGCACTCTGGTGCTGCTGAGCATCGCACCTGTTGGTCAACGTAAGGCTTCACGTGGCGGCGTCAGTCAACTGTCAGCTTTGAGTTGTTCACAGACAATGGAAGCAGAGCCCATCAAAGACTCGGGTAATAGCTAGGTCTTTGAACATGAGTGTATATGAAACTTATTCCTCGAGCAGGTCTGTTTTGATAATCGGCTTATCACCGCAGTGAAGAAGTTGCAATAACCTGGAAGCTCTTGTTATGAAGCCCTGGCTCGGACATCACAACTTCATGCGAATGTGCGGAAATGCAAAAGTGTGCTAGTTGCGCTATTACGTCATCGACATCTAATGACAAAGAGCCTCCTGTGTCTACAGTGTATCCACTTGTGTTGCCGAGTGTGATCTACTGCAGCACTGTGGCGGCATGGCGCCCTCTGCAGGGTTGCTGCGTTTGATACGTATTTTTCGAACAAACGATAGCAAACTGTAGAAAATGACCATTGTCACTGCCCCCCGGAGTTAGTAGGTTGACTGAACATGGGTTAGCTCGTTGAACATGATGCTGAGTGTGCCATGGGAGAGGAGGAAGAGTTGCATTATGTTTTTCTCCGCGCTCCCACATACAAAAACTATTGTGGATGAGACGAGGATTCTGAAATCTGGGGATAGCTACAACCTTAAACTACATGAACAGTGATGCAACTTTGAAGAGCATGCCTTAGCTGCTTTTCTTGGCAGATGGCACCTGAATGAACGTTTTCGAATAATGCAACACACAGGGGGTAAATTTTATGAAACGGTGGGGAGATTGCATTGATGTTTTTTCGCAGATAGTAGGCTGCATCGTAAGCAAGCTGCATGCGTAACGATATGTCAGCAAAATGTCCTCGTATGTGCCGTCGTAATTCGTCGGGATTGCAAGATGACGGATTCCTCCCTTTTTAATCAGCTAATGTTTGTTAACAACTTCTGCCATCTCGACTTGGGCTGCTCAGATAGGAATCAAATACATACGTGCTGTAAATGTTGATAAGTGTCTGGATGACATATTTCATGGCAGTCGTCTTGGTCAATCATAGAACGTAAATCAGTGAATCACATCATTGACAGCAAGTCAGTCAATGACACCACTGTTGGTGCATTGTATCACTGGTAAAGTACCCCTCATGCACAGCTGGCACAACAGGTATCGCCTGACATCCGGGAAGAAGGTTCCCGTCACCCAGTAATAGCAGACAGACGCCAGATGTTCTACGGAATTTGCGGCACATGTACTTCCCCACAATTTGAAATAGTACTCCGAGCTGCTTGGTTATGCCGTGACACCCTAACCACAAATTTCCACCGATCGCTAGAGTTTCCAACGATATGTTAAACACGCGTTTGTCGTGCTCCTCCCAAGACGCGCGCACGTGTGAAGCAGAAAATACATTGATAGATGGCGCTGCTGCGGGTCAGCTGAGTCAGCAGATACACCATTCGTTGTCTGTGGCGTAGATTTAGAGTAAAACGCCTCGATACTACTTGGACATGATGCTAATCACGCCACTGCCCCCCCCCCCCCCCCCCCCCCCCCAGGGGCACAGTCGCATGGTCAGTGAAGAGCCAGCTCAATTAGCAATCCTGTTTCAGTCAAAGCGCGTGGCACGTGGCATTGACACAAATGACTTTTTTTGCCACGTATTCGAACTGAAGCGGGTGAGGACCGCTTTTCTTGTAGGCACAACAGCTTGGAACCGTGTTCCCAGAACTGCGGCAGGCCCACAATTCGTCCTCATCGAAATGAGCGGTGAAAAAGTATTATCACCAGGAGAGCATCTGCCGAAGCGTATCTGGGGAAATGCTGGGGAGCATCTTCCTAAATGGCGCGTGCATGCGTGTTGTATCCTTTGTTTTACAATGCATGAAGTACACGTTTTGTTGACGAAACCTGGTGTCTTGAGAACGTGCGTTTAAACGAGCTGTGATTGCCTTGTGAAAACTCCTGTTCGGTGAGTACCTACATACAACGATTCATAATAGATCATCTAAGCACATCCGGGTGAGCCATGCGCAGATTTCACATGCCTGCGGGCAAGGGAGGAGCACCGCACCCCTTCTGCTTCACAGAAAAGGTGCGTTGTGGGAGGCTGGTACCAACTGCCAGGCTACCGTGTGTGCATCTTGTGCAATAAAAACATTAGATGCAAAAATAAGTGTATGTTGATGCATATATATATATATATATATATATATATATATATATATATATACAGTAGATGATGTTAACATAAGCCGGCGAAATCCAAAAAGCCCTTCGTACTTACCCCTTTTGGCGACCTTGATTACTGGCCCTCAACCATTTCGTTACATCGGCACCTATGAATGTGCCTTAAATCTTGCGAGTTCTTGTCTGATTTTCGGTACCTAGCACACGTTCAAGTAGTGATGCAAATTTCTTGTGTATTATAGTATGCAGTCTGCGCATTGTGGTCAGAGGTGTCTTTTGAAAACAGTTTGTCAAGCTAAAATATGCGGAGCTGATTCATGCTCTGTCTCAGTGTATCATCTGAACTCAACCTCATCCACCAGACTGCTACTTTGTCTAGTTAACCGAGCCAACGAAGCAGGGGAGTTCCGTTATTTTGATCATGCCTCGTATTTCTACGATAATTATTTGCTGAAATATGGCTTCCATGGTACAGACTTTCATTTATTCGTTGAATAAGCCCTCCCGATTCCGTCTAAAATCTGTACATTCTTAATTTGATCGATTCACAAAATCTTCCTTGAACGGGCTCTGACAAATTTACTTCAAATTTCACGTAATCTCGCTACTTTGCTTTTTAGGAAGTTTGTTAAACTGCCTCAGTTTAGTCCCTGCACTGAGACACATCAAACCACACAACTTCGTCACTCAGAACCATGGTCCGTAATTGAGTAACCTGACTGTCCAGTTCTTGAACTGCGGCACATCAAGCCAGACAACCTCATCATTCAGAGCCATGGTCCGTAGTTGAGTAACCTGTCTGTCCAGTTCCTGAACTGCGGCACATCAAGCCAGACAACCTCATCATTCAGAGCCATGGTCCGTAGTTGAGTAACCTGTCTGTCCAGTTCCGGAACTGCGGCACATCAAGCCAGACAACCTCATCATTCAGAGCCATGGTCTGTAGTTGAGTAACCTGTCTGTTGCCCACCATACTTCACTGCGCCTGCATGCCATGTGCACCGCGGGGTCACGCACCAATGCCTGACAGGACTCGGATCAGTGGAACACGGAACAGTGGAACATGGCGGAACTGATCTGAACAGAGGTCGCTCAGTGGCGCTTGTGACTGGTTCCACACCTGCTGTACGTGACTTTGTATTATGGGTGTAGATAGGACAAACAGCCATAAACACACACGAATCACAGGCGTGGCCGTTGTCTCCAGCCGAGTCAGCGTTCACACACAGCAGACGGGGTTGAAGGTGAGGTTCAGAGTCTTACTATGACATGGAACATCCTCAAGAGTCGTTTGGAACTTAAGACCTTAAGGCCGGCTCCCAGTGATGTCTGCAAAGCTGACGAGTACGCCAGACGGGGACGCGACCCTTTAGATGGCGTAGACACGGACGTAGTCGACCTGCATGGCCACGTCGTCGCCCTGCCAGGTGGGCAGCCACTGGCCGTTTCCCTCCCAGAAGTCCTTGGGCGCCGTGGGCGACGTGTTGGACCAGGGTTTGGCACCGGCGCCGTTGACAGCTGCGTCCGGGAAGAAGCTGTTGGTGCCGCCCACGGCCACGTTCAGCTTCAGGTAGAACTGTCGACCAGCAACGCTTGACGTCAGTGAGGCAGATAGGAAACTGCGGCATGGCTGGGGGCTTTACCAGCGCGCACCGCGCCCTGCTGGCCGATGCTATTTAGCTGATGACGTCATAAGCATCGGCCAATGACGTCATTAGCCAGGTACATCTGACCGCACCTGGCACGGGCAAATCTGTGGTTGATCCCAGCTGGCTAGTGCTACATGATCGCTCGGTTTAGATGCTGTGGGATGGATGGGATTTCCACAAACGTGCCAGGCTAGAGCTGGCTGGTGACCACAACTAGAAACTCCCCGATTGTTTTCCTCACCGGAGATGTCCACGCCGTTCGCCAAACTTTGCCCCGTGTGCTTGCCACCCAGCTCCTGTTATGCCTGGCTTCAGTTGGAGGTTCGTTTTTGTCATGTCACCTCATGCTCAGTGCCTCACAATGCTCTAAATTCACCGAAACTGTCTCCTTTCTGAACGGATTGGCGACAAATTTAGATCTGCACAGCAACACCATCCCCGTAACGTCAGGTTTTAAACTTACCTGGAAGTGGCACATTGTGATTTCTTATTTTTCCATGAGCTTGACGGTTTCATAAAACCACGCCCACATGATGCCTTCTAAAATGTAACGTGGTGCAGGAACATAGCATTCTATCGTATAGTTTCTAACCAAAAACCGATATTACAAACATAAGAAATCCAAAAGAATTGGACGTTGTTATATAAAACAAATAACTGTAACTCCATTTGACGACGTTCGCAACATGTCGCTGGTTTGTTGATGCTCACAGATTCCTGGTATTGACACGCGCCCAAAGCCTACTTCCAGCTCGGCCCCTGTAGGTCGAGGGGGGGGAGAGGGGCGGCTGACAACTGGCTGTGAACGGCGATCCGGCACCGCCGGCACCGGCACCGATTTTAGAAGGATTTTATACAAAATAAGCTGTGAACGGCGTCGTTGTTCACAACAAAGCAACAAAAACAACATACTCAACGAGGTTCCTGATTTGGTGCTCAAGTGTAGGGTGAAGTAATTTATGCCAGTCCGGTGTCCATCTTTAAGCGTTGGACTGTGCCCATAGTGCTTCAATTGAGCTGCGATATGAAAGCATTACGGCGGATTTGAAAGCAAGTAATTGATCTGTATTTGCCTGGTGCATGTATCTAAATGTATCACCACAGAGAAAGCATTTATGGCTCGCAAGAATTACGTAGTACCCATGCTGGCTGTTTACCATTGGCTCAGAAAGAACTAACGGGGAATTATGTTCACCTCACTCGCTAAAATTAAGTGTGAACTGCGGTTTGTACGTACGCATGCGCTTCGTTTTGTGTGGTATGTGCACATATATGTCACGGTAGTGGAAATGATTGACGATGGCGAACAACACACATACCTATACGAGTAACACAGTACCTGTGGGTCTTGATATCACAGGGTTGGCAGCATGGTAGTTACTCTAAAATCTAAATTGATCTAAAATGTGATTGTATGGAATATTTCAGCTGGGATGCCAGATCAACTTGAGTATAAACATGTGAGCTTTTAACTCTTCTGAGCTGATAATTGTCAGCAGGCATGGCTTGCGCGGATTGTGATGTCTTGCTCAGTAGGATTAGCATGTGGACGTAGGTAATAAAGCACACAACTGATGGTGACGATGGATGCTGCGCATCGCCAACGGAGGTGGCGTCATCTGGTGACCCACCGGCTGGTCGAAGGGCGCCATCTTGGAGCGGCCCTGCCACGGATTGTTTCTCCAGGTATCCTTGTTGAAGCCACCCAGCTCCCAGAAGCCGCCGGCAGGGGGAGTCACCTCACCCAGGGCCGTATCGTCCACGCTGAACTTGATGCCCTCTGGGGATGGGCGAACAGGCACCTCAGCCCGTCAGTCGACTCGGCACCTCAGCCCGTCAGTCGACTCGGCACCCGCACACGTCTGGTCTGACCAGGCACCTCAGCCCGTCAGTCGACTCGGCACCCCGCACACGTCTGGTCTGACCAGGCACCTCAGCCCGTCAGTCGACTCGGCACCCGCACACGTCTGGTCTGACCAGGCACCTCAGCCCGTCAGTCGACTCGGCACCCGCACACGTCTGGTCTGACCAGGCACCTCAGCCCGTCAGTCGACTCGGCACCCGCACACGTCTGGTCTGACCAGGCACCTCAGCCCGTCAGTCGACTCGGCACCCGCACACGTCTGGTCTGACCAGGCACCTCAGCCCGTCAGTCGACTCGGCACCCGCACACGTCTGGTCTGACCAGGCACCTCAGCCCGTCAGTCGACTCGGCACCCGCACACGTCTGGTCTGACCAGGCACCTCAGCCCGTCAGTCGACTCGGCACCTCAGCCCGTCAGTCGACTCGGCACCCGCACACGTCTGGTCTGACCAGGCACCTCAGCCCGTCAGTCGACTCGGCACCCGCACACGTCTGGTCTGACCAGGCACCTCAGCCCGTCAGTCGACTCGGCACCCGCACACGTCTGGTCTGACCAGGCACCTCAGCCCGTCAGTCGACTCGGCACCCGCACACGTCTGGTCTGACCAGGCACCTCAGCCCGTCAGTCGACTCGGCACCTCAGCCCGTCAGTCGACTCGGCACCTCAGCCCGTCAGTCGACTCGGCACCTCAGCCCGTCAGTCGACTCGGCACCTCAGCCCGTCAGTCGACTCGGCACCTCAGCCCGTCAGTCGACTCGGCACCTCAGCCCGTCAGTCGACTCGGCACCTCAGCCCGTCAGTCGACTCGGCACCTCAGCCCGTCAGTCGACTCGGCACCTCAGCCCGTCAGTCGACTCGGCACCTCAGCCCGTCAGTCGACTCGGCACCCGCACACGTCTGGTCTGACAGGCGCCTCAGCCCGTCAGTCGACTCGGCACCCGCACACGTCTGGTCTGACCAGGCACCTCAGCCCGTCAGTCGACTCGACACCCGCACACGTCTGGTCTGACCAGGCACCTCAGCCCGTCAGTCGACTCGGCACCCGCACACGTCTGGTCTGACCAGGCACCTCAGCCCGTCAGTCGACTCGGCACCCGCACACGTCTGGTCTGACCAGGCGACTCGACACCCGCACACGTCTGGTCTGACCAGGCACCTCAGCCCGTCAGTCGACTCGGCACCCGCACACGTCTGGTCTGACCAGGCACCTCAGCCCGTCAGTCGACTCGGCACCCGCAACACGTCTGGTCTGACCAGGCACCTCAGCCCGTCAGTCGACTCGACACCCGCACACGTCTGGTCTGACCAGGCACCTCAGCCCGTCAGTCTACTCGGCACCCGCACACGTCTGGTCTGACCAGGCACCTCAGCCCGTCAGTCGACTCGGCACCCGCACACGTCTGGTCTGACCAGGCACCTCAGCCCGTCAGTCGACTCGGCACCCGCACACGTCTGGTCTGACCAGGCGACTCGACACCCGCACACGTCTGGTCTGACCAGGCACCTCAGCCCGTCAGTCGACTCGGCACCCGCACACGTCTGGTCTGACCAGGCACCTCAGCCCGTCAGTCGACTCGGCACCCGCACACGTCTGGTCTGACCAGGCACCTCAGCCCGTCAGTCGACTCGGCACCCGCACACGTCTGGTCTGACCAGGCACCTCAGCCCGTCAGTCGACTCGGCACCTGCACACGTCTGCTCTGACCAGGCGACTCAGCATCCGCACACGTCCAGTCTGACCAAGCGACTCGGCACCTGCACACCTCTGGTCTGACCAGGCGACTCAGCATCCGCGGATGTTTAGTCTGACCAGGCGACTCGACACCCGTACAGGTCTAGTAAGACCAGTCGACTCGGCACCCGCACACGTCCAGTCTGACCAGTTGACTCGACACCCGCACACGTCCAGTCTGACCAGGCGACTCAGCATCCGCGGATGTTTAGTCTGACCAGGCGACTCGGTACCCGCACACGTCCAGTCTGACCAGTCGACTCGGCACCCGCACACGGCTAGTCTGACCAGTTGACTCGACACCCGCACACGTCCAGTCTGACCAAGCGACTCGGCACCTGCACACGTCCAGTCTGACCAGTCGACTCGGCACCCGCACACGTCCAGTCTGACCAGTCGACTCGGCACCTGCACACGTCTGGTCTGACCAGGCGACTCGACACCCGCACACGTCTAGTCTGACCAGTTGACTCGACACCCGCACACGTCCAGTCTGACCAGTCGACTCGACACCCGCACACGTCTAGCCTGACCGGGCGACTAGTCTGACCGGTCGACTCGACACCCGCACAGGTCTAGTCTGACCAGGCGACTCGGCACCCGCACATGTCCAGTCTGACCAGTCGACTCGACACCCGCACACGTCCAGTCTGACCGGGCGACTCGGCACCCGCAAGCTTCTAGTCTGATCCGAGCAAGCTGTCACAGTATAGGTTGTCACATTCTTACATTGGTAACATGATGACCCCGTCGGTTCCCATAATTTTGCTGTCACAAGCCCCGGATTATACCCTGCTTGCACCTGTGTTTTGAGTGAAATACTATTTTAAGTCTAAACTTGACCCAACGTGTTTCGCTTCCGATACCCTGCTGTTAACAGCACATCGTGTCGTGTACTGTACCAGGACTCCATTCCATCTTATAGACGTGGAAATCTGCGTTGAAGCCCGCTGCGTTGTTGGTCTCGAAGTGCGTGAGCTGGTAGCGATTGCTGGCGAAGTCCGGACCCCAGTGCAGCGTCGATGACACTTGCTGGTTGCCTGGACGACGGACAAACGGAGTAAGCGAGCTGAGCTGGCAGGCGTCGGCGGCAGCAATTAATTTGCTGGAGTTTATCACGCTTACAGAATGCTGAAATATTTCCTTGATTCTTTTAGTACTGAATTATTGTTTTATTGGTTAACATACACAAAACGCGGAAACTGGAGCACTATGCTCATAGCCTACGGGCGCGCGCGTGTCGCGTGTGCGCGTGCGTGTGCGTGTGCGTGTGCATGTGCACGTGCGTGTACGTGTGCGTATGTGGGGTGGGGGGATGGGCATGACGATGGCGCACAACATGGGCATTTACATGGATCACAGCCCCTTTGCACACAGGCAACGGTTTCAACCCTTGTGTCGATGCACTGCATGATTTTTCACCCTACTGACACTCTGGTGTCCCGTGGTCTGCGAGGAGGGAGCAACAACTAAAGGCAACGTGGACGGCGACATCTCGAATCGCTTCACATTCGTTATCCTCGTCCCAGGATAAACACACAAACGTCATCATGGGACCTGGTTTGAACAATATTTAAGAAAGTTGATTTGTTGTGATGATAACCGATTCTCGCCGAAAGAAAATTATTTCGATCCTGGTACGCGGTGCGGGTCATCAAAACCTTTCACCCTAGAGCGTGCATGTTTGGGGAGACGCTTAGCAGTACCGTGTATTGGGTGTTGGGACGTGGGAACCCGAATACCCAGGGTGATCGTAAGGTCCGTGCAGTGTTCGTGGGGTCTGATGTTCATTGTAAGTAAAAATAAAATGTTAGAAATGGGTCGTCATTACGTTCTGGTTAAACTGCCTGTGTTTCGTGCAGCCAAGAGCGTAGAACCAGGTGCAGCGGGTGTTAGGATGTGGGAGAACGGACTATTATTATTTTGATATCTTCATAGTGGTAGTGCATGCACGGATTCAATTCATTTCCTGGACTCACGTGCCCCTGTTTTAGGCGCATTTTTGCTAAACTTTGGTCAACCTTGTGACTCGTGACTCTCGTGACTGTAAGCACGGCTTGAAAAATAGAGATGTGAGAATGAAACAAAATATTTGCTGTATAACATGGTTTAACCAATACCTCCTGGTATGGGTATTCAAGGTCCATAACTTAGCAGAAACTGCCCGAATTTGAAAAAAAAAACGTTCAAAATAAGGAAAATCAACCGCGCCTAAATCAAAGTTTGAATCAACAATCTACGGTATTTGAGGGTCGCTCATCTTTAAAGTACTGTTCCATCTTTTACGGAGTTTTGAACTGAAATAACCATTATCCAGAAAATTACCTGCAATTCTAAGCCATGCCCCTTGCAATACTTAAACTCCTCTCCGTTTGGGCCAAAAGCATGCCAACTTCTGCAGATTTTTCGCGTCGCCTATTTTAAAGTCACCCAGTCTTCATGACGTCATGGAGACGTCAGACGAATTTCGCCTCTCCAATATCCGTCTTGTGTCCGAGGTCAAGGAAAATACGACCATTCACTTGTTTATATCTGTAGCACATCTGCACGAATTGCCGCATCGACGGAGATCAGTTGGCTTTTATCCAGCCTAACGCATTAAATGGAGGTCTCGATCACAAACCGCGTTTTGTGAAACATAACAAAGATATTTGAGCAGCCTTGCCAGTTTTGACGGGCATGACACTGAGGATCCAATAACTTAAAGGAAGCGCTCTCCATTTGAAGCTATTTAAGCAAGCCTCATATAACATGAACTGAGCTACTTATAACTACCGGTATAATTTTAAGTGGAAAAGACTGCTGTCGACAACACAATTACTTTATTTCGTAAATATGGTCCTTAATATGTCTTTGTTTGATTACGTCATGGAATTTAGCATGCCATTTGCAACTCTTCAATCTCCCGAGATATAGCAGCACGGCTGGAAGTGTTCGCTGAGCCAAATCTCGTTGCAATCGTGTTTCGGCCCTTTCTCGTGGCGTTCTTACATAATGATCCAAGAGTTTCAAACGTCCACTTGCACCCATAACTCAACTATAGCGTCATTCTTAGGTTATTCGATCACAAGTCTCATTTCCGTAACGATTAGGAAGAATGTATAACTATTAGGTAGCACAACATGCGATTCTCATTAGAATCTTGCATAACTCGCGCAACATGGATTGAGAGTCAATTGACGGCTGTTATATATGGAAGTCAAGTTCGCTAACGCCAGATATGAATGACTCGACAATGAAATTTGTATCAACCTTGAACGCCGCATGAACAGTGGAATGGCAGGATTTGAATGACTTTTTTATGGCGTCATGAATGTCTGTGTCACCTTGAAACAGCTTGCACGAAGCGAACTGCAGATCTTCGCGGGCTTGTAGCTCAGACACCAGAGGAGTTTAGGTTTTAATGGAGGTGTTCCACATTTTGTGAGATTTTGAATTGAATCAGCCATCTAGAAGATCATTCGGTACACTTCACAGCCTTGCCCTTCTAAAGTGAAGCAGTTCCTTCAAAGAGAATGTTTTGCGTGTTTTTTACGACTTGGATTGGATTGGATTGGATTTGTTATAGATTTTCATCAGATGTGATCACGGTTAGCTGTGCAACATCGTAGTTAATCAACGTCATGCTACAATTTCAATGACACCGAAGGGTTTTCAGTTGCCGGTAGCTGATGCTGATTACGGTTGATCTTAGGAACAGTTAATGTTGTTGTCAAGTTGATACATGTGCACGTATATCTTTATTTATTTATTTATATTTTTGTTTATATTTATACTTATATTTAAACATGTTGGTGATTTCTTTTTTTAAATTACATAGAATCCCTTAGTGATTTGCGGTCAGTGATTTGCATGTTCGCTTACTGACAACGTACTGGTGTATGCGACCTTCCGCCACATGTGACCTGCCAGCTGCCTACCTAGCTGTATATCAGGCGCCGCCACATGCTCCATCTAAATCATCGCTTCCAATGAAACTGATGAGACCGCCACTCATCGACAGCTAACTTCGGTTAGTTGAAGGAGTTATCGATATTGTGTAACATAGCTGGACTTGATTGGCAATGATGCATGGTTTAATACCGCCTCTGGCTTCGAACGGATCATTAGATACAGATATACTTAAACATATGGCCAAGTGTGCTAGTCGTACTTTTAGCAGCCGATAGCCACTATCTTAGTGCACTACGCTGGGAATTTACACGCATGTAACGATGAATGAGATCTACGTCATACCATAATGCTAAAGAAATAGGGATGGGCCGTTGTGTTGTCGATTGTGAGAAACATGCGAGTGGCCAAAATGTCATGCTGACTTGACTCATGTGCCCGTGATAATGGATGGCACATGATGCACTATGGCAACCGCGGGCAGGCATGGACCGCTTTCGTAGCGTCATGCTTCAAGTTTCACACCGGGCTTATTATACGAGGAGTGAGCGCATCATCCAAAGATTTTGTAACCAGCTGTTTTCTGCACGCGTTCCTTTTATTTTTCCAGTGCTGCTGAACAGGTGCTCGGGTGGGATCAATTTGACCCCCCCCCCCCGAAGGTTTTCCGGGCTAGTTTCCGAACGGCGCGGCGTATCCACGCCAAATTTTGCATGGCCGTAGGAAATTAAATACCGGATCGTTTGACATCAAAAGCTTATATTTACATCGTTAGGTCGTTGACCTATTGCAGGTTCAACTCAGGCCATGGGTTCAGCGAAGACAATTTCTGATGTTCTGACAAATTCTGATGTTCGTTCAATCTGATGCAATAATGAAGTGCTAAGCGAAACCATATATCTCTGAAATAGTTTCTTAAGCAATAGAACCATTGAATGACCAAGTTCCACTGACCTAGGGTCAATTATGAAGGCCAGACCAATGCCAAAATCAAACTGCTTTATTACACTGGAGCTGCGGTATGGAGAAATTTCTGGTGCATTTTTCAAATCTATTGATAACAGGAATCGCCTTATACATTCTCCATGAACTTTTTAAAGGTCAAAATAAGTAACTGGCCTAAAATGTCCCAGACTCACATTTCGTTTTTAGAAGCATACTGCCTTGCGTAATGTTTGGCGTTTATTCAAATGCAAAACTCAAAGCAGCCTTGTATAATTTTGGTCACCATGACCTGCCTAAGGTAAAAGAAGGCCACTGACCTTAAATGAGCACCAGCAATCTTTTGCTTAGAACAGGTATCTAGGTTCTGGGAAAATTTGGACACCAATCTGGCGTTAGACCTTGTTTGACCTTGTTAGACCCAAAAATAATGGCCTAGGAATGTCAAATTTCGTCACAAGTGAGTTCACATACAGGCTAACACACCCTGTGAATTTGGTGCCTCCAGCTTTCTTATTTTGTGAGATCTCAGCTGGTTAAATTGAGCCCCGCTGAGCGAAGGGCCAACAGGCCACCCAGGCGCTTATTAATCGCCTATGGCCATACAATCATGGCCAATATATCTTTTTCGGGTTGAAGTGAACGCGTCCAGTGAGAGAGGGCCGCCATAAGATAAGCGCCATGGAGAAAAGTGGACCACTATAGACCGAGTTAACATACCAGGGTAAAACATGAACCGTCTTAACGACCAAGCGGGTGGACTGGGTGGGCGGACCGCACCGCTCCAGTTCACTATGACACATGAAATCATGATAAAAATAATTACCGCATATAGTTGGATACGAGAGCTTTCACAACTAGAGGAGAATGATAGGCTTGCAGTAAATGGGAAACTGTGCAACCAACACATCTCATGATATCAGGACCCCACCACGGCTTTTGCAACATAAAGAGTGTTTGGAAGTGCAGCGCTGGATCAGAAAGTCTTCAGAATTTTCCATCTTACCAACAGAGTCCCTCGCGGTTTAACACCAGGAAAGATAGCGCAACACATTACCGTGTCGAGGCTGACTGCCTGGCTCTGTGGGATCCAGTCGAGCACCGGCCGTCACTAGCGCCGCTGGCCGAGCCACTCACCGATCTGGGTGCCGCCCACGGAGAGGTCGCCGTTGCCGCGACTCTCCAGTATGTCGATCTCTCCGGAAGTCGGCCAGTTGCCGTACGGTTTCATTTTCGGCTTCATCCAGATGGCTGGCGGGCCGGACACATGTCACTCACTACATCTCCAGATCGCACCGCGCGGCCGACCGGCACCACTCGGAATCAGCAGGCAGGGCACGCAACATCAGCATCGCACCACGGCACGCGGTCCACCGGCACCACTCGGAATCAGCAGACAGGGCACACAGCACCAGCATCGTACCACGACACGCGGCCGACCGGCACCACTCGGAGCCAGTAGGCAGGGCACGCAACACCAGCATCGCACCACAACACAAACCGCGTTTGAATGTACCTACACACGCAGCGTGAGGCGCGGAGCGGCAAGCACTTCAGATCACACGAGTCCCTCAAGACATACCGCAACACGGGGGCTATTCAAACGAGCTGCAGGAAACACGCCGTGGCATGAAGTGTATACATGGAAGGAAGCTGCGCCGGACATATCTGAGGTCGCGGACAAAGACCGCTTATGTGGTTATCACCTGGCCAGATCCAGTCGCCTGCGGGCATCTTGGCTCTGACCTCCACGCGGCCGTACGTGAAGGTGAATGAGAGCGCTGTGCGGAGGGAAGCGGACATGATTGGGTTCAAGATGTCGGCCTGACTGCCCTGTCTGGAGCAGCCGAAGTTCAGGGGTGATGTGCATCTGAAACGGATACACACGCACGGTTATGCGACCAAAGACACGGTCGGAGATGTAGCAATACATAGGACGGATGAAATCGGTTGGTGCGATGCGCGTCGCCAATGCAGGCGTTCGTAGTCTTCTAGCATTGTTCGAAACTGTGAACAATTAGCGTAAATTATGGGCGAAGTGAACTTGAAGAAGTGAGAGAAGAAAGAAAGAAGTGATTATGACAAGACTCCACAACCTGCTTTCTCTTCTACGTTGCAGCCTGATTGTGTTTTATGACTAAAAATTGTTGACAATGAGCCTGACTGTTTAGTCTCCCCTCCGTTTGGAGGCTCTCACTGGTCGAATGGGTTGTCTCCGTTCATGTCCAGAACGCCGGAGTAGAGGTAGTCATTGGAGAATCTTTCAGCAGTGAGCGTCGGCTTTACGAATAAGATGCCGTCCCGCACAAAGCTGTTGGTCCGGTTGTTGTTGTATCCCTCGAACTCCCAGTTCTGTGAAGACAGAGACATGCAGCATTTCTATTCAAAAGTACTCAAGGCATGGCACTTGCGAGCAACGAATTTCATTTCAACCCCAGCAGAAATGTACTGGAATGAATCAAACGGTCAATAGTCGATCACTCTTACCCAATCTGGAGGTTTTTATAAGGTAAGGGTAGGGTGGGGAGATGGGGGCCATTTCTGGTGTCTAGTTTAAAGTCATGTAGTGTTCCAACTGCGTGAAAAGGAACTAAATACCCTAAAAATATATAAATGTCCAAAAGTCCTGCCTTTTATCTTATGTTTTGGATGTTCAACCGCATCCATAATCCAAAGCTGAGAGGTGACCGTCTGCGCGAAACGAGCATGTTAAGGGAGGCGCGTAATTGAGTGTACACTGATAGGGAGATAGAAATGCTAAAAATGAGTCAAGAGAAAATTGAATGTGAAGGCGAATGCGCTTAGCACAATAGCATCCCAAGACAACTGTTTAAACTTGACAGGAGTACAGTTTTGTTATATCCAGCAGACATGAATGACCCCTTCGATATCATTCAAGCTTGCCACAGAACCATGCACCACTCCCCAATCACCCAGCTGGACCGACTTTTCCCCGCAGGTAGGGGCTAGACCGGTTAAGTTTACCGAATATTCAAGCGAAATTTTAACGAAATTGCGTTGCCTTAAGCACAATTTCCTTCTCTCCGCGAGAAGTCCAGAATTATGGTTTTCTCCTGCGCGTATATTGCGTCAATATTGTTTGATTCGCACGAAAGATAATCTTATAAGGCGGTCTTACAGTATGACAATCTAGAACAACACCATACCATCGTTTTAATATAGTTTCATATTTGTTCTGTATATGAGATAAGTTACGCCACGAGTCAGAAACGAGTCGACTCCGCGCCGCACTTCACCATTGAGCTCAAAACGCAAATGTGGCTTGACCGGACCAGATAAGAGGTCAAGTCAGATCAAACAATCTATGAGCAAAAATAAAATAAAACTACAATTAGTAGAGACCTAGAGACATTCTTGATCTATTGTGGGTACTTTCTTTCAGGAGAGGTCTAACATTTGCTTGATATGGAACAACGTGTGTAAAAATAATGTTTTACTAGTCTTTTGCTTTTTATAGTACCCCACGGAATGCATAATATATTTACAGTAAACAAACACGAGCACGTTGATCTTCTTCGGAACTGCTGCAGGTGCTGCCCATGTAAAGGTACGTGAACAGAAGAGTTTGTTCGTTTATGCAATGCATGCCGCAACATTCAGAAGTCACGATATATTGCATCGATATTCCACTCTAGCCAATACGACCGGTCATACCGATCCATTACTATGCTTTGAGGCGTTCCCTCAGACAATGCACAATACAGAAAGTCTACTGAACCTCACGACTGCATCCGACTTTAAAAAAAAAACCAAACGTCATCTCGTCGACCCAGAACCAGTCAGGCAGGGCGATGCCATCTTAAGCAGATACCCACGGATATGATCTGATGTTTAATATGCATATGATTTTTTTTTAAACCGGGGTCGGGTCAGTCACGATGTGTGACGGTACTTGCATCTCTTCTCTATTTTGTGTTCGAATAATGTTGACCAACGAGCATGAGAGCAGCCAGTCGCCTAATGCCCTATTTCCTGTGGAGATTGGTATAATCTCTGTGCGCCGGCAAATCACGACTCATTTTATTTTGCATAAAAGGGAATTTTTCTCAATTTGAGTTGTTAAATCACGCATCAGACATGATAAAATGAGCTCACTTACAGCTATCGATATACTTTTAAGGGAGAAAGATTGCTCTAGACAGCACAATTTCTTTACATAGTGAATATGCTCCGTTTGCCATTGTCATTGCTTCATTGTGCCATGGGATGTTTGTGAGACGTTAAAGTGTAAATATAGGTTTGGAGCGTTATTTGCGGTGTGTTCTGAACTTTTCTCCTTGTGTTTTGGTGCATTCTTTCGGTAATGGCATGTCTTTGACCCGCATATTATAAGTTAAGTTATAACTAGTAGTTGCCCAAATGCCATTGGCATTTATCATAAAGCGCGGTTGGTGATCAGTTCTTGTGACTGGTGGCAAAACACACCGTATCCGACCTTGTTATCCCCATTCCTGCTTTATCCTGAATACCCGCGGCTCCCCGCCTATCAGGGTCAAGCTGCATGCGTCAGTCACGAATGGGCCGCGATGCCCCCTGGGAGGGATTTCCCGTCCGGGCGCTCGAAGCACACCGCGCAGAGGGGTCCCCCGCGGGCTCAATCTCGGCCATTGAGTCCCCAGGCAAATAGAGGCTTGCGTCACCGTTATCCATTCTTCTTCATCCCATAGCTCTGAAATTGGCCATTACTGATCGGAAAGACTCTAATACAAATAACGACGCTATGATCCAAACAGGCAATCACAGCTCGATCTGGCTATTAGCTAGTTACGTTTTATCGTTGGATAACCTGATCTTGAATCACCAAACGCACGAATATTTCAGTGGCGATCTTTTTATTAACCATAAATCTAGTACGGCTAATTGGGTGGGGTACTCGCGTGACGTTTACATCAGGACATAAATGCCCGGCAAACTTTCAAATAGGCGGCACGAGGTCGTCTTCACAAGTTTGCGTGCGGCAGGCTTAGAAGCAAGAGGCTTTGGAGCCTTGATATTGATATATTATTTTGAAGTTATGATATTGGTGACATTTTGAAGTTAAGGTAGTTAACCAAGCAACACGCATGAAAAAGTAAGCTTACGTTTAAGTATTTATATACTTCTCAGTGGGAAAGACTGCTCTAGACAAGACAAGTTCTCTGTTAAGTAAATATGCTGCTCAATATGTCGCTGTTTGAGCCAATACAAAGGTGGAAAGCTCTCTTAAAAAAGCATGGCTTTTCAACTGACGGGAATTATGTTGAAAATGGACTATCTCACCTTAATCTCCACGCAAATATTGAACAGTCGCTTTAACGATGATATTTCATTGATGTTCCATTTTAAGTACCTGTTTCTTATTTTGCGTTATGTTGTTCATATAGCTAATATCCAAGTCTCCATATTTACTGCAAGACTATATATTGTAACCTATCGGGTGGAAAGTGGCGATCTCTTTCCATTTACAATGCTCTCACCTGTCCATGTAAAAAAATCAGTCAGCGAGCGCATTGATACACGCATTGAAAACTGCAGCCACCAGATATCATGATACATTGGATCAATATTTGACATGTGGCACCACGGCTGGTTATAACAGGCCAACTGCCACGTTTTAAAAATGCTCAACTTTGCCAAAACATAGCAAATCTACTTCGCCTCACCACTGGGCTAACAACTCAATAACTAACGAATCACCTCAATGACACAAGCAGGAGGGTATGTGAGTTCATTTGATTTTATTCTGACAGAACGCATAACCTGCTTGTTGGTCGAAAGCCGCAATTATCATGTACCATACGGTAATTTTCTTTCACATTCGGCCCTGTGTTCACGTAATATTGATCAGTTTGAAAGACAATAATTTTTGTGAGGGTCTATTCATATATTTCCTACACGAGTTTATATAATACCCCAGGGGTGGGGAATCGCGGCCTCGCCTAAAATCACAGCCCCGTCTCACCGAGAGTTCCTGAAATTGCGAGCGGTACACACACACGTGAGCCATTCATGCACATTCCTCGATTCATGCGCTGAAGGCTACGACCTATACGGCTTACGATATTGTTTTTTTCATATTTAGACCATACCGTTTGAATGGTTGGATTTTCTGGGATCAGACCCCACGCTGGGCAAAGCTTGTTGCGTCAGCCCTGACCCCCACCATCCGATCGCGCAATTCCAAGGCAACGGCCGAATTCGGAGGCAAATATTTAACGTGCCGCAACGCTCGCCACGGTCCGTCCTGCTCTCTGACACCACCTGCCTTTTAGCGCGGTGCTGCCACCGATAACAGGCCATATCTGTCAAGGGCAAATGGCGAGCGCCTCAAGCGACTCGAACGCATCCTACTACGGGCGAGTGGATCGTAGGGGCAGGCGGACTAACTAAGTCATTAGGATGGAGTACATTGAGTATATGTGAATAGATTACGCGACATGTGATAGTGACCAAACGCCCGGTCATGATGGCAGTTGCTACATTTTGCCGCCTTGGCAGCTGATAAAACATGCGGGATCGACTCCGCCACTCGACTGCGCCAATAATAAAAGCCCTAGGCTCCTTCCTAAACCTCGGGGATCTAGGTGCTGGGAATTGTGTGGTGCACAGTCCTTCTAGCACATGCCTGGGGCATCCTTTTTCGGTGCACGCTCCTTTTGGCGCGCGTTGTTTCCGGTACACACTTTTTCTGGTGCACGCTGTTGCTGATATGTGCTGTTTCGGGTACATGCTGTTTCTGGTGCGTGCTGTTTCTGGTGCGTGCTGTTTTTGGTGCATGCCATTTCTGGTGCATTCATGCTGTTGAAGTTGCATGCAGCCGGTATGCCAACGGAAAGCCACGGCCGTTCTGGATCTAACGATGGTATTTGCCTTAATGTCTGGTCTTTCTGTGCCATGATATCCACCAACACGCGTCAAAATTACTACTTAGCTATCTAATAATGTACTGTCGGCTCGGATCTTGCATGGTTTTCATAGGATTGCATTCCGAAGTACCCGGCGCGCTGTAAAACCTCAACCCCTTAATGTTTTATATTCTTAACATCGCATCTAACGTCTCTACCAAGACGCGCCGGCCGCTGAGTTCATTAGTCCAGGAATTGACTGCTACTTCGATATAGCATATCGATGTCTGACACCGAACGGTACGGGTCGACATGCCAGCTCGTTACAACATTTTAACGTAACACAAGTCTGCCAAGATATAATAATTCGATTCCGCGTAACCAAGACACTTAAGCTTGAAAAGTTCGCGTTTTACCTCAGAAACCTAGGCATAATGTCATGTGAGGCCAAGGCATTCCTTTACATGACCTGGTATGGCTACAAACCTTTTCCGTCTGGGTGACACC